GAATGAAACGGTTGGAAACAAAGAAGACGAATCAGTAGTTGGAAAGTATGGCCTTGGTGACAGAAATCATATTGGAGATCACACAATGAAAGAATTTTGCTAGACCAATGACCTAATCATTGCAAATACCTTTTTAAAAATAATGTATAAGACATATACATGGACCTCACCAATGGACTACACAGAAATCAAATTGTCTACATCTGTGGGAACAGGCAATGGCGTAGGGAAGCTAATTATTGTCTATTATCCTTCTAGTCAAATTTCTCCATTTCGTGATATGTTGTAAATCCTAACCTCTATGCCTGTATGTATGGACCCATTCTGAAATGAGTTCCTAACGAGAAAAGATTAAGGTGGGGCTAAGGAAAAAAGATTACAGTGGATCTAAGTATTAAGAATGCCCCACCTTAGTATAGGGTATGACTCAAGTCACCACCCTTAGTTTCCCTTGGGGGCATGGTCTGAGTTCAATTTATAAGATTGCTTTGGAAAAGCTTGCTGTCTTCCCCTGGATTTTGTATCTGGCTCATGATGTCTGACCTCTAGTTTACAGGAATTTCTGCCCATCCCCTGACCTGATTCACCAGCCTCATCCATAACAGCCTGTAATCTGACCGTAGATTTGGGTTCCTCAGCTCCTGAGACTATGGATTTGAGACTTGTCTCCAGAATTTCATGAGCCATTTCTTTTGACAATTGTGAATTTTTTAAGACATTGCAGGGTATTGCAGATCTCTGGGACTTGAGGGAAGGGAAGCGTGATGGTTGATATCAAGGACTATGGAGGGGTATAACATGTCATAGAGGTCAAAAAGTTGGAATATTTTTAACCTCCACCTCATAGGGATCTGTGTTTTGTTGCTTTTTATAAAAGAAATTATTCATGTAACTGGAAAAATTCAGTATCATCAGCCAAAAGAAACCCAAAGGCAGATTGTGGAACTGCCTATCAATTATTTATATGCTACTTCAGGCAGAAGCTGAAGAAGATTTAAACAAGTCCATGAGAGCCAAAATATGACCTTGAACATATCGTACCTGAATTTAGAGACCATCTCAAGAGCAGATTTGATACACTAGACACTAAGGACTGAAGATCAGAAAAGTTGTGGGATAACATACAGGAAGAAAGCAGAAGGTCATTCAAAAGACAAGAAAGAAATAAACAACCAAAATAAATATCAGAAAAGACTCTAAAACTTGCTCTCTATTGTAGAGATGCTAACGCAAACGGAAAAAGTGAGGTGGTAAAATAGCTGAACAGAAAATTTCAAAGGGCAGCTCAAAAATACAAAGTCAAGTACTATCACGAAATGCGCAAAGACCAGAGATAGAAAACCAAAAGGGAAGAAGAACATGCTCAGCATTTCTCAAGCTGAAAGAACTGAGGAAAGCGTTCAAGCTTTGGGTTGCAATATTGGAGGATTCCTTTAGCAAAATATTGAATAATGCAGGAAACATCAAAATATGATGGCAAAAATACAGTCACTATACCAGAAAGAAATGGTCAATGTTCAACCATTTCAAGAGGTAGCATATGATCAAGAGCTGGTGGTATTGAAGGAAGAAGTCCAATGGGTACTGAAGATATTGACAAAGAACAAGGCTTCAGGAATTGATGGAATACAAATATGAAATCTTTCAACAAACTGATGCAGCACTGGAGGCATTCTTCATCTATGCCAAAAAATTTGGAAGACAGACACATCTGTGCCCATTCCAAAGAGAGGTAACCTAATGAAATGTGGAAACCAGTGGACAGTATCAATATCCCCTGCAAGTAAAATTTTTCTTAAGATAATTCAAAAATTGCTACAATAGTACATCGACAGTGTACTGCCATAGGTACAAGCTGGATTTAGACAAGGATGTGGAATGAGGGATATAATTGTTGAAATCAGATAGATCTTGTCTGAGAGCAAAGAATACCAGAAAGATGTTTGTCTGAGCTTTATTGACTATGCAAAGGCTTTTGACTGTTTGGATCATGACAATCGATGGACAACATTCCAAAGAACTGTGTCCCAAAACACTTAATTGTGCTTATGAGGAACCTGTATATAGACCCAGATATAGCCGTTCAAACAGAACAAGGGGATACTGAGTTGTTTAAAATCATGAAAAGTATCTGTCAGAGTTGTATTTTTTCATCATATTTATTCAATCTGTATGCTGACCAAACAATCGGAGAAGCTGAATTATATGAATAAGAATGTGGTATTGGGTCTGGAAGAAGACTTATTAACAACCTGTGATACAAAATTGCTTGCTGAAAGTCAAGAGGACTTAAAATACTGATGAAGATCAAAGACCAACAACCTACATTATGAGTTGTACCTCAAATGTAAAAACAAAACAAAACAAAAAAACCAACAAAAAGAACCCTTCACAATTGGACCAATAAATAACATCATAATAAATGCATTAAAGATTGCAGTTGTAAAAGATTTTTAAAAAAAATTGGATCCACTATCAACATTTTTAAAAGCAGCAGTCTATAAATCAAAAGACGTGTTGCGTTAGGCAAATCTGTTGTATAAGGCCTCTTTAAAGTGCTCAGGAGCAAAGGAGTAATTTTGAGGACTAAGGTGCCCCTGACCCAAGCCATGGTATTTTCAATAGCCTAATATGCCTTTGAAAATATGCCAGACTGCAAAGCCATTTGAACTGCAAGATTGGTGGTTCAAGCTCACCAGCTGCTCTTCGGAAACCCTATACAGGGTCTCTATGGGTCGAAACAACAAAAACAACAATATGCCTTTGACAGCTGGATAGTGAATAAAAAAGCCCATAAAAGATTTGATGCATTTGAGTTGTAATATTAGAGAATATTGAAAGTACATTGGACTGCCAGAAATACACACAAATCTCTGTTGGAGGTACAGTCAGAATGTTCCTTAGAAGCCAGGATGGAAAGGAAGACTTTGTCTCTAATACTTCGGACATTTTATCAGGAGGACTCAATCCCTGGAAAAAGACAACATGCTTGATAAAGCGAGGGTAAGCAAAGAAAAAAATAAATAAATAGAGGAAAGCCTCCTACAAGATGGATTAGCACAGTGACATCAGCAATGGGTTCAAGTGTAACAACAATTTTGAAGATATCGCAGAATTGGGCAGTACTTCATTCTACTGTTCATGGGGTCTCTGTAAGTTGGAACCAACTCAATGACACTTAGGAACAATCCAGAAAAACAGAAGTGAGGGTACTGAGACTTGGTGTCACATATTGGACATGTTCTCAGTAGGGAGCTATTGCCGGAGAAGGACATCATGCTTGGTAAAGTAGAACGTCAGTGAATATGAGAAAGACCCTCAACAAGATGGATTGACACAGTGGGTATAAAATGGCATTGATTGTGAAGATAGAGGGGCACTGTTTCATTCTGTTGTACATAAGGGCACTACGAGTCACAGGTTACTTGATAGCACACAACAACAAGAAAAATAATTCAATTTAAGAAGTGAGACAGTGCAATTCTTTTATCTTGTTTCAATAATGAAACTTAGTTTTGTTTGTTTTGAGGGCTTGTTTTAAAATCAGAGACATTGAGACCCTAATAAAAGAATATAGGTGATAAGGACTGCTCTTGTCTCCTATTTGTCAGAACTCAGGGCAAAACAGAACTATCTTACTAGTCTTTATCATTTGTCATTTCCACTATCCTCCCCCACTGGTCCCTGTAATTGAAGTTCTGAGGGGTGATTGAGTAAGTCTTTTAGCCTTTTGATTCTCATCAGGGAAGGAGGAGCACCACAGGGAGGCACAACTGGCTTCTGCCACACTGCCATGCTTCCTCCTGGTGCTTTACATTCAGGTAAGACATATTATAGTACTTCATCTTCAAGGATCCCTGACTACCAACCGTTACAGAGTTGACTCCTAACTTAATTATCTGCAGTTCTTGCAGCAGGAAAAAATCTGGAGATCTGCTTCCTAAAGGTTAAAAAACCCTGTGGAGTAGTTCTACTTTTTCCTGTGTGGCTCCTTTGAGCTGGAACCCATTCGATGGCACACAACACCACTTCCCATTTTTAGGTGAATTGTCTTCCAGAAGACAGACCTAGCTTGTGTGTCAATGCTACTGTTAAGTGCCATAGTAAGAAAAAGCTAATCATTTCCGTCTTTGAGCATGTAGTAGTCAAGACTATCACTTCCCTGAATCCTGATTACACTTCCATGCCCTTCACCATATACACCTCTTCAAATTCCTGAGTCACGCTCTGTTTATGTTGCTGTTCTAGCATCAAATTACAGCATGGGCCCAACAGAAGTGACGCGAGTGTGGGAAGGAGGGGTTCTGTTGGAGGAAGACAGCTTTGTACCCCAGATGCAAGAAGAAAGCACGAGACATTTCTGCACTTGTCCAAGTGTCCCCCATTCCTTTTTTTCCTCTAGATTCCATATCCTAACAAGCTGGAAAAGACTGGATTTTAGTTTCTGTATTTGTTTTGGGGCCCAACCAAGAAACAGCGAAGAGGGAAGAAGACATTTTCAGAACAATATTTTTGTTGTTGTTGTTTTAAAACGATTGTTAATGTCATATTCACAGTAAAATAACAGGTAAAAACTTTTCCATATTTGCAATAGGGTAAACTAGGTAAAGGTTTAGATTAGAAAAAATAAAATAAAATCACTGAAATACACAATGTGTTTGTCTCCCCCCATCCAGCGCTGTTCGGAATGCCGGAGGAGGGACAAGGGGCGGGGCCTTGCGACGTCACAATACCAACGCGTTGCTGTGTTGTTTTTGTGCTCTCAGCTCCTGGGAAAAGCCGCCTGGGTTTCTGTACCTGGCCATCCCCTACTTTCAGGTGAGGCGACCTGAGATCGCTTCTGAACGCTCTGCCAAGTCGTGTTGCGGCGGGCATTGACATTTTTGAAGCAATTCTGATATACATTGAAATTTGACGGAGAGAAGTAATACGCAAGAGACGCAATCCTCAGCGAGGAAGACAGGCCCCGTCCGGGGATTTTAGAAATCCTGCGGTCCATCATGAAATTCCAGTATAAGGAGGACCATCCCTTCGAATATCGGAAAAAGGAAGGCGAAAAGATCCGGAAGAAATACCCGGACAGGGTCCCTGTAAGAGCATTGGGGACGGGTGGGGGTGGGAGAGCGTAGGGAGAGGGGGTGGAGAGCGTGGGGGAGGGGGGGAAGGGGAGGTTGGGGAGTCGTGATGGCTGCTCCAAGGAACAGAAGGGTCTTCGAAGAAGGAAGGTCCCTAAAAATTCCTTACCCTTGGAAGCCCTATACTAACCTTGAGAGCCAGACTGCGGACCTTTTTAAACCTATATCCCCAGGGCCCGTTCCCATGTTTATAGTTGACCGCATCTGTAGAATAGAGCTATGGTCTTGAATGACTCAGCAGTATTCAGAAGATGTGGTCTTTTTGTGTGAGAGTGATTTGATCCCTGTTTTGCTGTGTTTAAGAACGTATGGGAATTGCTATGGGAGCAGCTGATGTACAGGGATTTACTCCTGTCGATTTCTGCATAAATGGTTCTCATTTAAGCAAGTTCACGCTGACCTGGTTATCATTAAGCTTGGAAGAGAAAAGATGGGAAGCCATTAGATTCTTTCTTGTATTCATCAGGATTGGCATGGGGGTCACCACAAGACAGGTTTGGTTCAGAAAACAAGGTCATGATCTCTGCGCAACAACAGCCTGCTTGCCTCATCATTTTTGGCACCAGGGACCAGCTTTCCCGGGTATTTAATCTGATCAGATTGTATCTGGACACAAGATCCACCGAGACCTTTCTGTTTGTTTTATGTAGTTAAAAGTAGTGCAGGAGGAAAGGAGATGAAATACGAAGGCATCTTTCAGCATCCGGGCGTTTTTCTCGGTTCCCCCTCCCCCCTGTCCATTTGCCTGGTTGATCTCAAATGTAGACTGCGCAGCCAGAATGGAAGACAGCAGAAGCCTGTGGTTGAGGGAACTGCAGTTTTCAGGTTTTGAAGATGAAGGAGTAGTAGCCTTAAGATTTTGCTCTTTATCTTCAGACATTCGAATAATATAACAGATAAATGTAACACGTAAAGGAATTACAATTATCTGAAGTCCTTTGGTGATCTCCAGGTCTCCTGGGTCTCCTCTAAAAGCTTTACCTGACTTTCATGTTCTTATAGAGGCAACGTGGGCCTGAGCCCAGCAGTACAAACCCCTTGTGGTCCTTACCTATCAAGACATGAAACCAAAAAACTCAAAACCAATATACCATCAAGTAATTTTAGAGTCACAGTGAACCCTGTATGCATGCAGGTTCAGAGGCTGTTGTTAAGTGCCATCCATTTGGCTCTGATTCAGCGATTCTGTCTAGGGTTTCCTAGGATTCGCTGGTGGATTTGAACCGCCAACCTTGCGGTTAGTAGCAGTCCAGTGCTTTTCCTACAACGCCACGCCAAGACTCCATAAAAGCTATCTTATTCGCTAGGAATTGCACTCAGAAAGGTTTTCGACTTAAAAAGGGGAGCTAGCTTCATTCAGTGAATCGTCACAGTTTATTTTCCTGTTCTCTGGACCTTTTGGCACCAATTCCACTCTTTAGTAATACTGGTTAAAAATGAGAGCTAGTGTTTACTGAGAGTTTACCCTATACCTGACGCTGTTATAAGTGTTCTTTCCATAGAATCAACCAGTTAATCTTCACACTGGTAATTCCCATTCCGTAGATGAACAATCAAAATCACAGAGACATGAAAACTATATTGCTAATCTGTGACTGAGGTGGGATTCCAACTTCACCTGCCATGCATAGAGCTATAGTTGCTATTAATCTTAGTGCCATATTGCTTCTCAATTTAGAATTCAGCTCTACTAGCGTCGGGGTTACAAATTGGGCTGCGAACCGGAACCGCAAGGTTAGCAGTTCGAAACTACCAGCTGTTCACGGCAGAAAGATGAGGCTTTCTGCTCCCGTAAAGATTTACAGCCTCGGAAACCCTGTACAGGGTCGCTGTGAGTCAGAACCGACTCCACGGCACATTCCCACCACCCCCACCAGAATTGTTTTCCTCTCGTTGTTAGGTATTAGAAATAGAAAGATAAATAACCTTGCTGCCCTCAAAGTAGGACATATGGTGCCAAAAAAGGAACTCAGTAAGCAAAATGACTGCCTTTTATGCAGAACTTGCCAAGTAGAGGCACTGTGCCAAAAGCTTTCCGCATATCACAAACTGAAATTTACCTGTTCCTGTGTCTAGTTAAAATTTCCATCTGTTCCTTCAAAATAGGGTCCTCCCCATTTCAATTACTTATATGCATTCATCTAGAATATTTCAGCTAATCCCGCCTGTTCTTTTCCTGTAAGTGTTGATGTTTAATGTTTTACTTCTATGATAATCTGCCAGCCATTACTCAGATCTCATGATTCTCACAGTTAGGCTTTAACCAGTACTGAGCTGTGGAATGCTTGTTACTTCTCTGTGACCCCGTTTTCTCTAGTAGTTATGCAGGGAGAAAAGCTATGTGGTTTCAGTTCTGCAGTGTTGTTACAATTCTGCCATGTTGTTTCCAGTTCTGGCTTCATGGCTTCACCAGGATTTCCCTATGCCATTGCTGGGAACCCTTAATTTCAGCATGACAAAATTTCCTCATTTATGGAAAAGAGTCAGTGATTTCTATACCCTCTCCAGCCACACTACTGGTATCATTAAAGCATTCTTTAACTCTCACTGCTTAGGTAACTTGAGTTTAGCCCCAATCAATATTCCTTTATAGCTGCCATCTAAAAGAATAAGTGTGCTTGTGCCTTGGGGGAGAAGGGATTTATGAGATTTTTTTTAAAATGATCTTAATAGCTACAGTGTTTTAAGAACATAGCAGGAAATTGCTAGAAACAATGTTATTTATTTTTCATTTATAAATAGACTAATTTATAAATGGACCTATGGAGTATTAGTTACGTTTCATAGATGAGGAAACAGACTCCAAGAGGCAATGCATGTAGCCCCAAAGCCACTAAGTGAGAATTTAAGGGTTGGGATTCCTGGAAACCTAAAACTCTTTCTGGTAAAACAAGGTCTTAGTGATTATCCATCTGCACCTCCTGTCTTCCAGATCCATGTTCTGTTCACTGCCACCTCAAGTTGATTTCAGCTCAGAGTAACTCCACATGACTTGTCCCATAAGGTTTCCAAGTCTTAAATCTTTACCCAGACTGCCTCATTTTTCTCCCTAAGAGTGGCTATAGGTTTGAACCATTTACATTTTGGTTAGTAGCTGATTGCTTTAAACACCCTATATTGTTAAGTACCACTGGGGTGGTTCTGACTCATAGCAGTTTGTATAGGGTTTCTGAGAAATGGTAGATTTGAACCACTGGTCTTACAGTTAGCAGTCCAATGCTTATCTACACCAGGATTCCCAAATCTTATTTACAGCCTGCTTTATTGCTCTATTTTCTGCTGCCCCTCTTTCCCTTGTTGCTAAGTGCCTTCAAGTAAGTTCGAGTCATAACCACCCTACCTAGCGTTTCCAAGGAGTGCCTGGTGGGTTTAAACAGCTGACCTTGCTGTCCTATGCATTATCCTGCAGATTTCATTAATTTTGCTGCCTTCTGTCGATCATTGTTGAGCCTTCCCTGGTTTTTCCACAAAGCTCTTCGTACCTTTTCTTTTAAAATCTGACTCCTATATCTCTGTTCCAGTTTTGATTTTTAAACGTAAAGCGTGATCATGGTCCTTTAGTACTGATGAAGTGTTTCTGTTTTTTCTGTAAACACAGGCTAACTTTTTCACTATTTTATCCTGTCCCCTTTATTTTAAAAGTGTCAAACCTAATCCTCTCTGTTATTCTTGTTTACATAGTTCTTTATAATTAACAAAGCATTCTCATATAAAGTTTTATGGTTTACTCAAGTTCCCAATGTAACAATACTATGACTTTTTAAAAGATGTGCTGGAGAGTTAAAGTCTTCCTTTTACTCATTAAACTGCTTATGCTTCACCAGAGAGGTTAAGTAATCTGATGAAGATTACACAGCAAGTAAAGAGGAATTTCTCAGTGTTTGTTTCTGCTTCTTCACTTTAACATTTCTATACTCCCCATCTTGAGAATGATCATATTTTCTAAACAAAAAAATCTAAGGTCCATGGTTTCATAATATATATTTTCCTTATTATAAATTTATATAAATAAGTCTTTTGATTCTTATATGTCTTCTTTTTTTTTTTTTTAACAGACATGTGTGGTCTTTATAAAACGTGAAGGTTATAGAAGTTTTAATGCTTTTTCCACATAATAAAGTATCTTAAAAGTATTCTCTTAGCATTCATTCTTAAAAAGGTGGCAAATTTTATAATTCAAACCTCATGTTATTATTGTTACTAATGCCATCAAGTCAGTTCTGACTCATAGCCGCCTTATATAGGGTTTTCAAGGCCAAACCTCATTATATGTACCTTTGATAAATATTATCTATAAGAAAAAATAAAACTAATAGGTGATCCAGACTATCTTAAGAAAACTCAATCTTCTTGATGTTTTAACTAAATACCTGGAGGTACATGCCCATAGTATATATTTCAAGCTACTTGTAATGACTTAAAAGCAAGATTCGCTTTATTTTTATCCCATGTCTTCTCCACTTCTTCATTATCTTCTTCCTCCTATAATTAGCCTTACTTACTATGGGGAATGGAGTCCTGGTGTAGCACTGTGGGTTAATGCACCAGACTGCAGAGCTGTTTGAACTGCAAGGTCGGCAGTTCAAACTCACCAGCCACTCCTCGGAAACCCTATACAGGGTCGCTATGGGTCGGAACCGACTCGATGTCACTTAACAACAACAACTATGGGGATTAATATATAGGAAAACCCATTTCCCTATGTATTTTGTAAGGAGCAGGGTGGAATGAGAAATGTTCTTCAAATAGGGCAACTGTAGGATGTGGAAGGAAAATCCCTAGGTGGGATTCTGAAGTTTACACTCCCACTGCCTTCTCTTCCCAGGTGATTGTGGAGAAGGCTCCTAAAGCCAGGGTGCCGGATCTGGACAAGAGGAAGTACCTTGTGCCCTCTGACCTCACGGGTAATGTTCTGTCCAATCCCCTGACCCTTCCTCGTATAGCAAAGCATTTTCAGTCCTTATTATATGCCTGTGAGTTTGAGACTGTTAGTATACAGAGTTGAAGAAAGTCAGTGGAATTCTCCAGAATGCTGAACACAATAGTTCTCCCATCATCAATTCTCTTAAGCATTTCAGGTCACACTGTCTTACTTGATTTAAATATAGCAAACTGCAAAATATTAATGGCAGATGTATATTTTTTGAAAACCAGTTTTAAAATGAATACATTTATTTCCAGGGGAAAATTAGACTCCTTTTTTGGGCTGGTCGCATTTGCAGATTCTCAGCTGAATCTTTGAATTTTGGTCTTCTCAGGCCAAAGTTCTTAGTAATGCGTTTTTGTAGATTGTATTGGGAATCTTAGAGAATTTTCGTCTTTACCTTAAATCTTGATCCTAACTGTAACATGCCCACTGCATTTAGAAGAGTCTGAAGAGACTGCAGATACATGTGCTACAGAGTTAATAAATATGTAATCAGCTTTCTAGCCATTTTTCAGTCTTTTCCAGAAAAGGTAATATGTTGAACCTCATTTCTTACTCCAGCTCTGGGATGAATTTGCCAGGCTAGTGTTACTGGAGCCCAGTAGCCCTCATTATTATGTGTCTGAGGCTGGAGGTATGCCTGGAAATGAATTTTAAGCCAGATTTAAACAACATTGGGAATGTTTTGGTTGAATATACATTGTATGCCCGTGAAGTAATTATCAGGTGTTGAGTGGATATGGTAACATTAGGTCTGTAATAGAGTAAGGGCGAAAAGGAGTGAGAAGTAGAGTAGGGTCTTGAGTTTCACTTTTTCTTTATAAAGTACTTGGAAAGTGTTTGGCTGTGTCCAGCTGGTATATAAAGCTCTGGTACTTACTCCAGAGGGAACTGTGTAATAGATTATTGTCTCTTGGACATTCCCATTTAATAGCTTATCTTTTTCCCTTCTTGCATTACTTTCCTAAAGCCTTCTTTCTTCCTTCCTCCAGTTGGCCAGTTCTATTTCTTAATCCGGAAGAGGATCCACCTGCGACCTGAGGACGCCTTATTCTTCTTTGTCAACAACACTATCCCTCCCACTAGTGCTACCATGGGCCAGCTGTATGAGGTAATGGTCCTGGACAACAGTGTGGCACAGTCTGGCATTTGCTAGCTTTTGTTTCCGTGTTGATAACACACCTGGGAATTGGGGCAGGAGGTGTTATTTCTCAGGATCTTTTTACACATGGCAGTGTAAGGCTCTAGGAGATTAGATACCACTTGCCCTTTAGGGATGTAGCAGCTACCAGATCCAGTCTCTTCTCAGTCCTTCCTTACTGCGGCATTTCAGTGGAAATAGCAGCAAGTGATTCCTAATAGCAAAAAAATCAAATCCTCTTCCTGATGTTCTTGTCTTTTTATTTGTTGTTAAGTGCTGTTGAGTCCATTCCAACTCATAGCAATCCTGTATGGGGTTTCCAAGGAGTGGCTGGTGAATTTGAACCACTGACCTTGTGGTTCAAACCAACCTTGTGGTCTAGTGCTTTATCCTACATAATTTGTAAATGAACCAGTCTTTTAGATTCCAGTTCATTATTTTGCTCCCATTAAGAAATAGACTTGAGAAACAACAGTGATAAAGCTAACATCTTCTATCTCTGAAACTAACTTCTTGAAACTCAAATTGCTGTTGTTTTGGTGATAAGTGCCTTTAAGTCACTTCCGACTCATAGCAATCTTGTATAGGGTTTCCAAGGATCAGCTGGTGGGTTTGAACCAATAACCTTGTGGTTAGTAGTTCAGTGCTGATCCTACAGAGCCACACCAGGACTCCAGTGAGGTATTTTATTGTCCTCTCCTGGTGTAGCATTGTAGGATTGGCACTGCGCTGGGAACCACAAGGTTGACAGTTCAAACCCACCAGTTGCTCCTTGGAAACCGTATACAGGGTCACTATGAGCTGACTCGGTGGCACTTAACAACAACAAATGTAATTTTAGATTATAACTTCATAATTTCTTAAAGGACTTAGATAAGATGTTGCTTTCTCAAAGTGCCCCATTAGAGAGTTATACCATAAAACCTTAAAAAAAAAACAGAGCTTTATGGGACTTTTTTATTTTACTGGGTCTGTAAGTTTTCCATTTTTGACAGGGTACAGTTTTGCTATTTTTCTATTGTTTGTTTTAGTTGAAAATATTTTGAGTTTTCCTTCTCTGACAGGTTTCTGCTTTATGCAATTTCCAGCTTTCAGAGATTTACAGTGTAAATTTGTAACAGCTGCTAATGTTTTATTCTGTAGCATATATTCAGTAGTAGTATTTATTCCCTAAGGAGCTCTGGTAGTGTAGTGGTTACGAATCGGGCTGTGAACCTTAAGGTCAGCAGTTCGAAACTACCAGCTGCTCCGCTGGAGAAAGATGAGGTTTTCTACTCCCGTAAAGATTTACAACCTCGGAAACCCTGTATAGGGTTGCTATGGGTCGGAACCGACTCGATGGCACTTAACAACAACAACAATTTATTCCCTGGAATATGTTCATTGTGAGTCAGAACTGACTCGACGGTACACAGCAACAGTATGTTTTATATATGTTTACCTTGCCAGAATGAAGTTCTGCTTTTAAATTTTTATTTTTCATCTTTTAACTTATTTTTTTAAGCTGAAATTGACATAAGATGAACCATTTTCAAATGAATAATTCAGTTGCATTGAGTGCATTCACCATTACAAACACAACCTCTGTCATGTTTCAAAATATTTTTATCATCGCAAAAAGAAACTCATTCCAGTTAGGCATTTGTTCCTCGTCCCTTTCCCCTTAGTGTCTGACAACCACAGAATCTACATTGTGTCTCCTTGCATTTGCCTATTTTAGAGTGTTCGTATAAAATGAAATCATACAATATGTAACCTTCTGAGTTTGTGATTTTATGTTGCATAATGGTTTATCGTTTCATTCATGCTTAATTAGCATTTGTCAGTACTTTTTTTTGCAGCTGAAAAATGTATGCCTTCTACCCATATACCACAATTGATAGATTTAGCCATTGATGGACATTTGGGTTTTTCCTCACTGTTTAACTATTGTGAATAGTGCTACAATGAGCACACGTATAGTTGTATTTGTGTGAATTCCTCTCTTCAATGATTTGGGCATATACCCAGGAGTAGAAGTGCTTAAGAGTAAGAACTATGCTCATGGCCTCTTTGTGTTCTAGTACCTATGAGTTTTAGATTCTCGACGAAAGTTGTTTTGTTTATGAACTCAGAACTCGAAGTTTAACTTTAACCAGTTATGCCTATTCTTTTTGCTTTTTTTAAAATTGTGACTAATGATAGTTGCTATGCCATCACAGGGTGTGTGAGACTCAGAGTCCTAGATAATGAATGTGAATATCATTTCTAAACTCATCTTATCTCTTCCCCTAGGACAACCACGAGGAAGACTATTTTCTGTATGTGGCTTACAGCGATGAGAGTGTCTATGGGAAATGAGTAGTGGAAGCCCAGCAGATGGGAGCACCTGGACTTGGGGGTTAGAGGGAGGGGTGTGTGGGGGACTTGAGGGAAGAGAGGGAGAACTCCCACCATGTGGAGACAGAAAGCAAAGACATCTGGAACACTACACTGCACACACCGTCATCATATTTTCACATGCTCAATTGATGTTTTTTGCTGCTTCCTTAGCCTATGGGAAAAGCATGCCAAGACCCAGCTGTTGGATTGGCTTTGATCGATGAATGGGAATGACATAAAATTTACTGTATTGCTGTGAATTAATTTGTGTGATTTCATAGAATGATCAGCAGGTGGGCAAGGTGGGACCAGAGAAGATTGTGATCCAACAGCAACTTCCTGTTCTCCCTTCTCTTTGGACAGAGATTCTATTTTTTTTTTTTGCACAAGACAGCAGGGGAGAGGTGATGGGTATGTTTTAGGACTGCTGATAGGGGACCATTCATGAGGACCAAAAGGAAAATGCATTCTATTTAAAGCCCTGTGACCCCTGGTCTTTCTTATCTCCAGACCTCATCTCATCCCAGTCATAATCTCACATTTATCAATTACTGGCAGTGGTGGTAAACATCAGCCATCAGAACTGTCACTGTTTTACTTTTGAAAAATCAGATGGTTACGATTATGAAGACAGTTTTTGATATCATTAAACTGGAATCGACTGAACACAAAGAAGCTCTCTTCGAACCTCTTCTCTCTCTCTCTCTGATGCCCTTTATTCCACAATTATTGTGGACTTTTTCAGTCTTAGACATTTCCAGTTGTAGGCTAAAACCACTTCTCTAACATGTCCCAAACTTGGTTCCACGTAAAGGGACAGAGATTTCTTACATATTGGAGGAGCAGGTATGAGGCAAGGCAGATCATCTCCACCTCCCACTCACCCAGAATTCTTGCTCCCTTACTGCTCAATTTCCACTGTCCCTTCAGTCCCACACGCACATGAATGCTAAGCGATGGCCCGCTGCTTCCCTCTTGATTTTCATCTGCAGCTGCTAGTTAGACAGGTGTCGGGGGGATGACATTAGTAATTTGTGGGGTTCTGTTGATCCTGATTATTTTCTTTAAACTGAACTCTCGGGGTTATGATGTGGGGTGGGGGTGGGGAGCAGGAATTGTACTCAGACATGACATTTCAATCATCTCTGCTAATGAAAAGGGTCCTTCCTTTGGGGGAAATCTATGTGTCGGTTTGTCAGCTTCAGGTTCTTGTGTAATGAAGTGTATGCTGTCAGGCCAAGGAAATAAAATGATAATGTATCTGAAAAAACCCACCATGGCTTGAGAAACATTGCCTTTATTTAGTATGTGTTAGAATAGATTGCTGATTCTCTGAATAGAAAACTGAAGTGAGGATGGCTGTTAGCAATGAATGTTCACGTTGTGATCAGATGTATATGTGTTTAACTCATTCTTTATAAGAAGTTACTCTCCAAAATGTGAGTGCTTGGTAAGGCCCTAGGCCAGGTGCATTGGTGTGTACATGATTTAATCCTCCACAGGTAAGGGTTTTGACACTGCTTCATGATTCCTCAAAGCTGAAGTTGGAAGCCTGCCTACATTTAACTATCTTCCTGTGGGGGTGGGGAAGTGCCTATTAAAAATGCAAACACCTAAGCCATGTCCTAGATTTAGCTGACTCAGAATCTTGGTGTAGGCGTCTGTATTTTTAATAAACTCCCCATGTGATTCTGCTGGAATTTGAGAATCACTGCTCTATGCACTGGGTTTTGCTATAAGTCCCAACTGTTTGTGATCGGCGCACCTTATCTTGGTAAGTCTGAAGCCATTGTCTCCCAAAGCAGCATATGGGACCTAGGTAAGACTTCTGGGTCAGAACAAGCTGATAATCATCTGATCATAAGTTTTTCAATCAGTCACTCAAATACCAATATTTAGGTAAGTGGGTAGGGGGTGTGAATTATATGAGACAAGGAAAAAAAAAATAGTTGAAAGTCCTTTCTTAGGGAACTTAAAAGCCTATCTCTAACCCTCTTTAAACTCCTTCAGTTTTATTTCCAAGTGGTGTCTACCTCTGTAGACTTCTACAGGATATATGAGTCATCCAAAAGGAAGTTGTGTACTCTCTAGTCAATTCTAACTCATAGTGGCTCTGGATAAGATTTCCAAGCTGTAAATCTATGGGAGCAGAAAGCTATCTGTCTCCTGAAGACAGCCTGCTGGATTTAGACTGCTAATCTTTCAGTTAACCCACTACACTGCAAGGGCTGTTCCTGAAAAAGGAAGTGGTGACCATAAAGATCCATGGGAGGATTCCACCAACCACCACCAAACCATGCCTTGGGTACTGATTGCAAAAGGTAAGTTAGACAGTGTAAAGGAAGAAGCCCCATCCCAGCAAGCACCACATGCAAAAACTTAGGAACATTTTAAGGAATTTTGGTGATAGCAATAGAGCATTAAATATGGATACTTGTCACTTCTGACACAAAAAATAGTTTGGAATATTCTATGATAATAAAAGCTAATAGTTGAACTTTAAGATATGAGCTATATTTTCAAACTAATGATTTGCCTACTAACAAAACTTACCTAAGAACAAGAAAGAATAAATATTAAAAAGAAAAATACATGGCACATCCTAGCCCTCTATCCACATCTGAAACAGTCCATGTAGTGCAAGAGACAGCAGACCATTGCTAATCCCCAGAGGTATATTGAGTTTAGAAGACATTTGCTTGTTTCAGTTCAATTCTGGATTTTTTCCTCTGTGAAATGGCTTTTATCCTTAGATTAGGTATTGCACCTCATTTGAGACAAGCCCTCTGATATTACATACAGACCCATAGTTTAGATAGCTACATTCAGATGAAGAGGCAGGCTGGGTCTTCCGGTGTTTTGATTTGGATATGATGCTCTTTCAAACTGTCTCAGCACCACTCCTGTTTCCTGCTAGTCAGACTTTTAGATGTTCTTAGTAACTTCAGGTCATGATTAGGTAAGTCTTGAACTAAAAGTAGTTTAGGAAATGCCCTTCCACTAACCTGGGCCCCATTTCCCAAATAAGATTGACTAATCCACTAAGGTGGATTTCTTGAGAACAAATGGTATGCCAAATAGACACATTCTTTTCTTGTAAGAAAGCATGGCATTAATGTCAGAAGTAAATCCTTAATTCTGTGGTAGAAAAATCTAGAATATTTATATATGGAGGCTGAGCATACACATAATTTTACCAAACAGTTGGTTCATGCCTGTTGTCCTAAAATGGAAGTACTTAGAATGTTTTTCAGTTCAATCAGGATGAAATGGATAGCATGAATCTTTCAAAATGAACTTTTATGACTTTTGATTAAGTATAAAATATCCAGGCAAATATTAATCATGTTATATTCACATTAACAAATATAGCCAACTTGCATCCAATAGAATTTGTTTTTTACCATCTAAGCAGAATGTACCGTAAAATGCTGCCATCCAGTAAGGGTGCTCTGTGCAGTCTGCTGATGTCTAGTGCACTAGAAGCACCCTCTTCCTCTAGCATGGCAAGTTAAGTGTCCTTTCTCTTTGCCTTCTGTTTGTCAACTCTGTAAGACTTAAATGACAAATGC